AATTTGCTCCCACACAGAATGGCACCCATAAGAAGAGAAGAGTAGGATAAAAAGGGACGCTAAAAATAGTTTGGTATAATTGGCATGCTCTAGATTTTTAAAATTAGTTTTTCAGTATTATAAGAGCTACCCTGTTGTTATGGTTTAGATCTAAAATGGCCCCTAGATGTTTCCTGTGTTCAGAGGTGGGGCTCTGAGGTGATTGGACTGTGAAGGCTCCAATCTCATCAATGCATAAATCTAGGTCATAATTTGATGACATAATTAGGAAATGATGGAGACAGGAAGTGGGACTAAAGGAAGCGGATCAACGGGGCAGGACCTTGGGGACTACGTCTTGTCCCTGACCCCTTGCTCCCTGGCTCTTGCCCACCTCTGCTTCCTGGCTGCTGTGAAGTGAGCAGTTTTGCTCTGCCGCATCCTTCTGCCACGATGATCTGCCTCACCTGCGGTGCACAGCAGCGGAACCAGCAGAAACCTCTAAAACCATGAGCCCGAATAAAACTCTCCTCCTTTCAGCTGACTTTCCCGAGTGTTTCACTACAGCGGTGGAAAGCTGACTAATGTGTCTCTGCTCATCATGTCCACAACGTAGAGAAAGATGTCAAAGTAAAAAGAGGGCGCCAGGGATATAGCCCAGCAGCATGGTACCTGCCCGGCAAGCATGAGGTCTTGAGTTCAATTCCCAGTACCAAAAAAAAAAAAAAAAAAAGAAAAAAAAAAAGGGATCACTGGGTGTGGTGGTGCACACCTGTAATCTCAGCACTCGGGAGGCTGAGGCAGGAGGATCATTGTGAGTTTGAAACCAGCCTGGGCTACAAAGTGAGCTCAAGGCCAGCCTGAGCTGAATAGTGAGATCCTGTCTCAAAAAGACAAAAAGGGATCATTACCCTTTAGATGACTTTTTTTTTTGAGTCAGGCTCTGACCATGTAGTTCAGGCTGACTTCAACTCACTATGTAGCCCAGGTTGACTGTGGACTCACAGTGATCCTCCTGATTCAGCCTCCAGAGTTCTGGGATTACAAATGTGAACCATTACGCGGTAGTTAGTACCCCTTAAATGATTTTTTTTATGCCAGGTAAAGTGTTTATGACCATGATCATGGCCCTTTCTGGCTGGAAAAAGCACTCATGTTCTCATGTAAGAGCCAGGCAAGGTGGCTCACACCTGTGATCCCAGAATTCTGGAGGCTGAGGCAGCAGGATCACCACGAGTTTGAGGCCAGCCTAAGCTACTTAGTGAAAGCCTACCTCAAGAAAAAAGATAACCATACAAGGGCTTCTACAATGACTGTCCATCTCGCTTCTGACATAATCTTATTCCTTATTTTAACCTTTTATTATTGGCAGCAATTGTGGCATACACATTACAAAATAGACTGTAAGCCTCTCAAGGTTTATAAATACATTCACAGGGCAGGAGAGGGGATGAAATAAAGAATTAAGCTGTGCTATGTGCATGTACCAAACGTCATCATTATGTACTGCAAACATGCACTAATAAAATAAAAAGATATAAATGCATTCGCCATCTACATCCTTCATAGAGCTTACATAGAACAAATGCAATTAACAAAAATAAACTGGTGAAGCTGGGGGTGTAGCTCAACAGAAGAGCATTTACCTAGCTTATGCAAGGCACTGGATTCAATCCCCAGCACTGCAAAATAAAAGAGAAAATAAGTTGGTGAAACTGGAGAATACTAACTCCCTGTCTCTTTCTCTTCCCTCGTTTCTAAAAATATGTTCTCAAAGTAGCCATTAACTGAGAGCTTAGGAAACAAAGCAGTCCCTGGGACGGTTGTGCTGTTACAGATTACATCCAAGTGAAAATTCAGCTTTCATTCTGATAAAGAAAATTGATAGATTGACCAGGCCCTTTGACGCTGTCTCTGCGCTCCCCTAGTGTTTGCTGTGATTTACAGACAGGAAGTAGACTCATGTATTTGACATCCCCACCACACACTAACAGCTGGATGAGTCAACCTAGCCAAGCCTTGAGGCTCAGATTTCCAGAAAAATCCCAGCCTCCAGACAGAAGATTTCTACGGAGGGAGATGCTTACCCAGCAAAATGTAGTAAGAAGTAATTGTAAAGGAATGAGTCATGTTAATGGAGGAGATATGATTGTGGTTATTGTCTTGGTATTTTGGGTAAGGTACTTCATGTTCTTTTTTTGATGAGTCATACGATGCAGCCCTTTTTCTTCCCCCTGGCTCTGGTCTGCAGCCCTCAATTTAGCAGGCCAGACTTGTGCCAACTGGAGTAAACACTGTCTTTAAAAAAGCAATCCTTGGTCAGTGGGCCACTCCCCTCAGTTGGCCTTATTGGCATTGTTTACATCTATAGCAAGAACAGAATTGCTGCTTGAAGGGGCTGGGGATTTAGCTCAGCGGCAAAGCGCCTGCCTGGCAAGCACAAGATCATGAGTTCGGTTCCTGATACAGGAGAAAAACCAAAAAAAAAAAAAAAAAAAAAAAAAAAAAAAAAAAAAGAATTGCTGCTTGATTGCCATCTTCTTCCAACCAGTCTCTTAAAGTTTCTGGTGGAGCTGGGCGTGGCGGTGCATATCCGCAACCCCAGCACTCTGGGAAGCTGAGGCAAAAGGATCATAAATTCAAGACCAGCTTGGGTAACTTAGCAACTCAGTGACAGCCTGTCTCAAAAAAAAATTTTTTTTTTTAAATTTTGAGACAGGGTCTGTGTAATCCAGGCTGGCCTCGAACTCATGTCAATCCTCCTGCTTCAGATGGGATTACAGGCATGCACCACCATGCCAGGCTTTTTTTTTTTTTTTTGAGACAGAGTCTTATTATGTAGTTCAGGCTAGTCTTAAATTCATTATGTAGCCCAGGGTGGCCTGAAACTCATGGTGATCCTCCTGCCTCAGCCTCCTAAAAGTTGGAATTATGGGAACCACCACACTCAGCTTTACAAGTAATTTTTTTTTAAAAAGTGCCGGAGATCTAGATCAGGCCCCGATTTTCAAGAAAAAATTATGGTGGAACAGAATTTTTCTCAGATAATGGTTTTGTGGAGCCAGATGCTAAATTCCTTATAATAGCTTCCTTTGTGGGCATATTTCACAAAATTCAGAATCAAAATTCTTTCTATGCTGGGCATGGTGGACTACACCTGTAATCCCAGCACTTGAGAGCCTGAGACAGGAGACTCACACAAATTCAAGGCCAGCCTGGAATACATAGTGAGACTCTGTCTCAAAAATCAAAAAAATCAGCCTGGCATGGTGGCACAGGCTTGTAATCCCAGCACTTGGGAGGCTGAGACAGGAGGATCGTTGCAAGTTTGAGACCAGCCTAGGCTACAAAGTGAGCTCAAGGCCAGCCTGAACTGCATGGTGAGACCCTGTCTCAAACAGACTAAATAAATAAATAAATAAATAAAAATAAATCAACCAAACAAACAGAAAAACTCTGTATGCTATAGGAGAATAGACTATAAGCAATTATTTATTATGAATATAAACTTTTCCTTTTAAGGTTTTTTGGTTTTTTTGGTTTTTCTCTGGTACCAGGAATCAAACTCATGACCTTGTGCTTGCCAGGCAGGTGCTTTGCCGCTGAGCTAAATTCCCAGTCCCACCTTTTAAGTTTAAAATAATTTTTCTGAGTGGTGCAACCTCACTCTGAGTTTTCATTCCCTCAGTAATTCTCATCCTGCCTCAGGTTCACATACAGTTAATCCCTGGTCTTACCCTGCCCCCCAGGAACCACTAATCTATACTCTTTCTGTAAATTTGTCTTCCTGGACATTTGACATAGATGGAGCCATACATTATGAAGTCTATAGTGCCTGTCCCCTTTCATTCAGCGTATTGTGTTTGTTTGCCTGTTTATTATTTGTTTTTGTTTGTTTGAGACAGGGTCTCACTATGTAGTTCAGGCTGCCCACACAATCACTATGTAGCCCAGACTGGCCTGAAACTTGTGGTGATCCTTCTGCACGTCTGTAATCTGAGTATTTGGGAGGCTGAGGTAGGAGGATCCCCACAAGTTTGAGGCCAACCTGTGCTATACTGACTTCAAGGCCAGCCTGGACTATGTAAACAAACAGACAGACTTGCTATAATATTTTCATTTTACTTGAGTAGATACTGAGAAGTAAGATTGCTGGGTTATATGGCAGTTTCACATTTAATTTTCTTTTTCTTTCTTTCTTTTTTTTTTTTTGTAACAGTCTCACTATGTAGTTCTGGCCAGTCTTGAACTCACTATGTAGCTCAGGCAGGCCTTAAACTTGAGGTGATCCTCCCACCTCAGCCTCCTAAATCCTGGGATTATAGGCTTCCATGAGGGGCCTTAATGGTGTCTTTTAAAGTGTAAGTTTTACACCAGGCATAGTGGCACATGCCTGTAATCCCAGCGCTAAGGGCTGAACTACATACACACTGTCTCAAAAAAAGTTTTGAATTTGTCAGTTTCACTGATATACTGTGCTTTTGCTTCAAAGCTATATAAGTAACGGCTGGAAGCTTTAAGAAATTTTTGCCTCACATGGGGTCTGGAAGTTGTTCTGTTTTCTTATTAAAATGCTATAGAGCTGGGCATGGTGGCACACATCTGCAATCCTAGCACTTGGAAGGCTGAGACAGGAGGACTGCTGTGAGTTTGAGGCCAGCCTGGATTACATAGTGAGTTCAAGGTCAGCCTGAACTGCATAGTGAGACCCTATCTGGGGAAAAAGAAGAAAAGAAAAGAAATTGAGTACCATGAAAGAGTCCTAGGAGTCGGGCATGGTGGTGCACGCCTGAAATCCCAGCACTTAGGAGGCTGAGGCAGGAGGATAGCCATGAGTTCAAGGCCACTCTGGGCCACATAGAAAAAACCCTGTCTCAAAAAAAGGATCCTAGGTTACAAGGGTCTGACTGGTTCACAGTAAGTTTCAGAGCTGGGAACTGACCACATCTGTAACTAGCTTCAAGGGAAACCAAGAAGCAAGACAACCGCGTTCCCATTCATCCCCAAACAATGCAGACAAATATAGAATGTCTGGTTTATTTAAATGGCTGCTCAAGGCCCCACCAGGAACCAGGAATTGAACTCACTCAGAGCTGTGGGGCTAAGCAGGCCAGGGGTGTCCAGGTATCAGACAATAGAAGGAGCTCACTGGAGCAGGCAGAGCAGCACCAGGAGCAGGCTGAGCAAGAGAGGCATGGCCTCACGGAACCCAGCCCTGCTCATGGCCTCTGCGTAGAACCTGGCCACCTCCTCGTTGGGGTTGCCCTGGGCTGGATCAAACCACATCTGGATGCAGCGGCCACTGCCTCGGCTGTAGTTGCTGGCTTTATAGCTGTGGCTCCAGATTTCCTCACACAGGGCAGCGGGAGTGGGGAAGTAGAAGTGGAAGGGGTGGCAGACAGCTCCCTCGGGGCACTGGTTGTAGCCTGTAGGAGGGATGAAAACCTCAGCGATTGAGCCTAGGATGGTCTCCAGGCCTGGCCAACCCTGCCATCCCAACCCTGCACATCTCAACCCCCCCACACACACCTCCACCTCTGCTTCCCTCCTCCTGCCCCATCTGAGCCCTTACCCTTTTCCCAGTTCCAGCCCTTGTGCCAGTTGGACTTGCAGGTCTGAGAGGTCTTGCAGTCCTCCCACCACTGCCGGCAGTCCTCCTGGCACAGCGGCACGTTGAGGATCCGCTCTTTGCGCCAACTTTGGTCCACCTGGGAGATGTGAGAGGAGAAGGGCTGGTGCTGAAGAACCTCAGCACTCTGGCCCCAAACAGAAGCAGAGCCGGAGGCACAGCCCACAGAGATGTCTGGAAAACCCAGTAGCTCTGCTATGCTGGGGGTCCCGAGAGCACGGTCGTACCTGCTGGATCCAGGGCCCCAAGTTGGGGGAGCACTCATAGAGGCAGGTGTCCTGAATGAAGTGCCGCTTGCAGGCGGGCTCCATCTCCCCACAGTGGTTCCAGTTGAATCTGTACAGGTAGGAAACATCCTTATGGGCTTCCTGGCTGGTGTTGGTGAAGCAGCAGGAGTTCTTCTTCCAGGGACTGCACTGTGTGGGACAAGACACGGGGCTGAGGCCAGGGCAGCACAGCCAGAATCCCACACAGCCTCCCTCTTTCAGTCCCTGATTCCCCAACACCACTCAGAATCCTTCGGGGAAGGACTTGCTGTAGGAGCTGCCTTTACAGGAAGGGACTCACAAAGGCCATGGAAACCCAGAAGGAGCTTACAAAATTCATTAATTCACATTTTTACTAAGCTCCTACGTACTCTTTTGTTTGTTTGTTTTGTTTTTTGAGACAGGGTCTCACTATGTAGTTCAGGCTGACCTTGATCTCTCTAGGTAGCCCAGGCTGGCCTCCAACCTGTAGTGATCCTCCTGCCTCAGCCTCCTGAGTGCTGGGATTATAAGGATGCACTACCATGCCCAGCTATATTGACTTTATTTAGTGTTCAGCTAGATTCAGAATATGAGAGTGTTGTGGTAACATAACTGTTATGTATAGAAGAGATCTTGTGGGCCCACTGTGCCCCCTACACAGTGAGACCCTGTCTCAAAAAAACAAAAAACAAACAAACAAAAAAGAGAAACCTCAGGTCCAACAGGGTCAAGAACCACAACCTAAATGTTTACCAGGTGCCTAAATTCAAATACTTGGCAGTCAGAGCTTGGCATGATGGTGCACACCTGTAATCCCAGCACTCAGGAAGCTGAGGCAAGAGCATAATTGTAAGTCTGAGGCCAACCTGGGCTACATAGTGAGACCCTGTCTCAAAAAAACAAAACAAACAAAAAATCTTGAATTCTTGGCAGTCAGTCTCCTGGTGGGAGAGGCCAAGCTACCTTTCCCAAGCTGTAGAGGGATGGCAGAGAGGAGCCACTATTGGTGGTGTGCTTCTTCTCTCCTAGGACCAGAGAGTCCTTCCTAATCTAAGCCTCTGTGTCCACTTCCACCCCAGGGTGGATTTTTTTTTTTTTTGAGACAGGGCCTCACTAGGTAGTTTATGCTCACTTTGAACTCACCGCGCAAACCAGGCTGGTCTCGAACCGGCAGCGATACTCCATCCTCCTGCTGGGATAACAGGCCTGTGCCACCAGTTTAGGATGGGCTTTTCTAACGTACTTCCAGGCTCCTCGCTGGACCCGCTTCCTTACTTGTGGGATCTGAATACCCAACAGCCAAGAAGGGGGGCCACTGGCACTGTACTGACATCTGGCACCCAGTGAGCCAGTCACAGTGTTAGGCAGAAAGTAAGTCAATAACAAGGCTGGAGACAGTGGCTGGGGGTTACTTGAAAGCAAAGACGTGATTTGGTATTTTTCCCCCTTCTGTTTTCTTAATAATTAGTTATGGATAAGATCCACAGAGCTTGTGGTTTTGTACTTTAGCTCAAGAGAATATTATATCCTCTAAGTGTGCTGATAAGGTCCAGGGCCCATATAATGTTCAGACCATTGGTCAGGGGTTGGAAAAACCTCAAGGTCTCAAAAGAGACTAATTGGAGACAGCCACCCAAGGAGTCAATAACTTTTCTCTGAGGTAGTAAACAGCTCATTATATCTGTACAAGAACAATAATATTGTCAGGGATTACTACAGAGATGGGGACACAGGCAAAATCCTGGGCTCTTACCTGATGCTCATTAAAAGGATGGTTTGTTTTGTTTTGTTTTGTTTTTATCCTGGGACAGCCAGGGATTTAAAAGCCATTTTGAGCAGGGTGTGGGGGCACATACCTGTAGTCTCAGCACAGTACTTGGGAGGCTGAGGCAGGAGAATCATTTCAAATTCAAGGCTAACCTGTGTTACACAGTGAGTTCAAGACCAGCCTAAGCTACATAATGAAACCTTATATCAAAAAACCAAACCAAACAAAAAAAATCTCATTTTGGGAACACAAAAATAATTATTGTGTATTATGTACATGTACCAACTCCCCACAATAAATGTAACAGTTATGTACTGCAAACATTTACTAATAATAGTTGAAATAATAATATGCAGTTCAGGCTGGACTTAAACTCACTTTGTAGCCCAGGCTGGCCTCCAACTCACAGAAATCCTCCTGCCTCAGCCTCACAAGTGCTGAGGTTACAGGCATAGGCCACCATGCCCAACCTCATTTTCAATTTATATCCTTTGTTACTATACATCATCTCCCTTTAGCTCTACATATAATGTTAATCATGTAGGGACTGTCTAAAAGGTGACAGAACAAGGTTAATTAGTCCTGCATTGACATATGCCTGCCCCATTCAAGACTGAGGATGGGGGAGAGGTTCCAAGGACATTTCCAAGGACATTCATCAAGAGGTCTCTACCCGTTGTTCTAAGCCTGTCATCTCCCAGATTCCAGAAAAGGCAGAGTTGCACATGACTAAACCACAAAGAGGTGCACTTTTTCTGGAGTGGTGCTTGGCGTCCATGCACACGTTCAAGAAACTATCCCCCAGCCATTCAGATTTCAAAACTGCGATACCAGGACTGAGATAGTGACCAAGCCAACCCCACTGAATCAGCCAAACCATAAAAGCTGGCCTCCTAGCTGAATGAGGTTAGGACACCTGTCATCCCAGCACTAGAGACTGAGGCAGGAGAATGGCTGAGAGTTCAGGCCAGCCTGCAACATAGTTCAAGTAAGACCAGAAAAATAAAAACTGGTCTCTCACCAGTCTGAACCCCTGTACCATAATGTGACCCCTTCTGCTACCTAAACTAGAGCCCTTTCTTTTTTGGGTCTTTTGAGGGGAGGAGTTTTTTTTGTGGGTTTTTGGGTTTTTGGGGGGTTTTTTGGTTTTTTGAGGCAGGGTTTCAATATATAGCACAGGCTGACCTTGAACTTGCATCGATCCTCCTGCCTCAGCCTTTGGAGTGCTGGGATTACAGGCATGCACCACCACACCTTGCTGGAGTCCTTTCTTATCTTCCTTCTAACTTTCCAATTGAAAGCTTTTCTCCTTTGTAGATTTGTGTTTTAGTCTTAATTTCCATTGCTACTAAAAACCAAGACCCACGCAAGCCAGGGACCACAATATGTGTGAAACAAATAGTCGTCCACATCAGAGCAAACAGCAGGTCTCATGGGCAGCTCTGCCTACCTCTACTACCGAAGGGGGCCCAACCTTTCCTTCTCCTGACCTACTCCTCCCAAGTCTGCCCCACGGCACCTCAGGTCACCTCTCAACCCACCTGCTCGTGCAACTTGTCCTCAGGGCTTGGCTTATCCTTGTGGTGCTTGGCGTCCATGCACACGTTCAAAAGGTCGGTCCTGGCCCGAGCAGCACTGGCCTGGGCTCTGCATGCGGCCACCCACACCAGGAGTAACAGCTGTGCTGTCATCAACTGGGCCATGTCAATTCCTGGAGAACGGAACTGTGGTCAGAGACACAAGGAATCTGGAAGTGGGGCCTCCAGTACGGACCTGGCCCCAGGGGGTGGAGCCTGGCAGATCCTGCGCTACCTCCTCCAACCTAGTGCTCAATGTCCGGTTGTCAGAGCAGGTCAGACACACCCACTGGGGACAGTCCCTGGCTGAAGCCTCTATGAATTGTCCAGGTAATCATGAGGATCTGGGCAGGGCAGTGTGCAGAAACAGCAGGGAATCTGCCATGCATCCACCGACTCTTATTCAAACTCTTTGGAGGCAAATGTTAAAATTTTACTGGGATCTTACTGCACGTGGTGGCGCACACCTGTAATCCCAGCACTAGTGAGGCTGAGGCAGGAGGAGGATCACCACGAGTTTGAGGCCAGCCTGGGCAAACCAGCGAGCTTGTCAGGGCCAGCCTGGATGACATAGGGAGACTGGATTTCAAAAA